CTGCCTAACTTACGATACAGGCAACGCAATGTTAATGGAAACCTCAAAAGCTCACGGAACTTGGCAACTCGGAGCCGCAAGAGCCGCAAGACTCTGTCATATACCAACGACAATTTATGTGGCAACTGTTGTTGCTGCTGCTGCTGCTGCTGCTGTTTATGTTGCCAGTTGGCAGTCGCTTTAAGCTGCCGCTTCGAGGCACGCATTTATTATTTTTCTTAATTAAATCTTTATTTCGCTGTGCCATATCATGGCCAGTGCGTTTGAGTTGGTTGGCTTGATAAGTATTTATACAGCCGCTGGTTGCATGCAATAATAAAATTGCATGCCACAAACGATATGCAGTTAAAGTCATGTCCTTTCCTGAGCGCCTGTTGGCAACATTGAAACTCATTTAAGTTGAGCCGGGCAAACAGCAACCAGAACGAACGCCACTAATTAAGCCTAATGGCGCATGAAACATGCATTAAAACTAATGTGCAATCCTTGCAATCTACACCCCACCCCACCCCAACCCCCCCTCGTACCCCTTGCTAACGTACATCCGCTACTTCAATTCAACTGGGAGCGACGAGCCAGGCTGCTTCCGTTAATGGCCTCTGCCTAATTTTATGCCACACAATACATACATATTTGCTGTTGTGCCGCGCCGGAGCGACAACAACATTTGCGTTTTATTGCGTCCTGTCCCATGGTGATACAATTTATACATATAGATTTCTATCTAGAAATGTGTCTGTCCTAATTTAAGTAGATATGTTTAATGGTACAAATTTTTAATCAGCTATCGTACGCATATTTACGGTTTAAATCAGCTTGACTTCAGAGTTTGTGTCAACAAGAAATTGAGAAAAAAGTTCATATTCATGGGAGTTCTTTTAAAATTTTTAAATATATAACTCAGATAATTCAATATAGTTTGTATTTGTTAGGACAATTAACAACCAGGACATTTTTTCAATAATTTAAATACTTTGAAAATATGAAAGAAACCTATTTTAAGCTTGGAATCTTGATCAAACGAGCCTGAGTTCCTTCTAGTTCTGGCTGCCTCTCAATTAAGTATATTAAATGTGAATTATGTTACTTTGAATTGAGTTTAATTAGAAATTAAAAATGCTCCGTAATGATCCGCACCCTGTCTGCACACTTAGCTTAGTTACGCGTTGCTTCAAGACAATTTCTATTGAATTAGCTAGAAATCCAATAGCATGCTATCGATTGATTCATTCGGACACCGGACACACAACAGGAGCAGTGACTTGGGGGGTGACATGTACACAGTTCAGTTCAGTTCAGTTAGGGCTGATTGGCAGCCCCAGCAGCTGCTTGGGCCAACTCAGACGCTGGACAAGTAGCAGGCTGGGCGGCTACTAATGAAACATTATGGCTGTCGTAACACAGCCACGCCGCACAAATCCACTAAAAACGTTTACGGCTTACGTGCAACATGGCTGACTGCCTGCCACTAAAAGTCCACAGCGACATAAGTGGCACGTAGCGACGCCAACAGTGGCTGAGGCAGCAGCAGCGGCTGCGGCCACAAAAGTGTCCTGGCAAATTGCTGGCTGCAACACGTTTTGTGGCCAGTGGCTGCAATTGATTTTTGCACTTGATGCGTGCATGTGTGTGTGTAAGTGTGTGTGTCCAGCTGAACAAATACACGTATTTTAAGCGGCTCCGCATATATGTAGATGTGGTTGTGCGTGTGTGTGTTAGTTATAAACAATTCACAATTCATATGCTTTGCTGCTTCATTGAAGCAATAAATTTAAAATTCTGCAAAATGCCATGAAACGATATGAAAACATTTGACAATGATATATGCGTAGCGCTCGAGAGGCTCCATCTTCCAAGCGGAAGCAGCTTACGCACGGTTGCATTACGCCCGGAAGTCACCCACAGAGACAGCGAGCGAGGGAGAGGGCAAGAAAGAGAGAGGGGGGGGGGGGGGAGAGTTGCGGAAAGTGTGAGCGTGTGGCACACACAACTCGAACGAATGTCAACATGTTGATAACAAAACGCAAGCGCATACTTTGCACAAAATGTTTTGTTTAGTATACACAATACTGCAATGAAAAGTTCTTGTTTTTATTTTATTTTTATTTATACATTTAAGCAAAACAGAGCGCAAAAGTTCTCCTGCCAAATGTTGGCGTTTGAATGCTTTGACTGTACAATATTTTATGACAAATTTAAGTGTGACCAGGCTGAATTTCTATCCTAGCTTTCTAGCTAGGCTGTAAACTTTTGCTTTTGCACCGAAGCGATTCAAACCCGATATTTCAGTGTATTATTCTCTGAATGTTCAGGATACATACGCATTTCTCAATTGAAATATAAAATATAAATATAATTTCGAATTTAAATCAAATGTGTAGAACCAAGATTGGAACCAATGCCTGTTTCCAGTAAAGGCGCTGGTTCAAACCTTTTATTCTGGTAAAGTTTAAAAACCTTTCCAAACTTTAATACAATTTTGTTGAAATTGAACCAAAAAAATGTGACAAATCAAGGTGCGAGCCAAAGTTTGGGTTTATGAATATGCAAAGCCACGGTATTTGTTCGAGCGGTAAGCCGACAAATAGCTTTACTTGTTCATGGGTGTTAAAAGGGAAAACCATATTAATTAATAAATGTGCGGATTTTAAAATTAACCAATTGCAGTATTCCTGTAAAAAAAAATCCTTTTATTCGGTGCAGCGAAATATTTAGCTGGCATTTTTGCTACGCTTTTATTCGCAGCATTCCGAGTCGGTTGTGTGCGTGGCCCAGAACTGTTGCTGCCATGGCTTTTGTTTTATATGGTCAACGGCCAGTTTGTCGGCGAGTTCTTGTATTAACAAATATGCAATGCATTTCATTTTATTCAACTCTGGTTTTGTTGTTTTCCTCGCTGCCCAGGAAGCTTTTCATTGTATTATAGCATTGCCTTAAAAAATGATAATCATTTTTATGAAAACAAGAAAAGCATCGAAGCGCTTGGCTGACCTTGCAAAAAACAACAGAAAACAACAAAAACTTGTGGCAACAATTTGGCTTCGCGAAAATTAATGAAATTTATGTTCTTGTTGCCGTTGTTATATCAAACATTTCCATTGTTTTGCGGGGGTGCTACATAATGAAAAACTGTTATTTTTTATTTTAATTTATAGCTGCATGAAGGTTTCTGCTGTCCCACGATTCTGTAAAAGTCACAAAGTAAATGCCACGCTTGCCCAACAGCAGGAGAATAAAGGCAAAAGTTTTGCATTGTCATATTGTTGTTCAGCATTGCGTACAGTGAATGCTGCCTAACGTGACTTTGCGAACAGTAAAGCCTTGTGTGCAAGAGAGATGACTATGAGAATCCCTAGACACAAAGCATCCTTTATGTATAGATTAGAGCATATTGGGCAACAAAGCGAGGCAACTGGAGTAGTTATAGGTCGAGCATAAAATGCTTTGGAATGTCATCAGCTAAACAGTCTATTGTACTCATTGCACTCAAGGCAACTGTAAGTAAAAGCTTAAATATGTATATGTAGTTAATCGTATTCAAACGAAGAAGAAAAAGCCGGGCTTGAATTTCCATGCACCAGGCTATTGTATTATTTTTCAAGGTATGAAAATAAATACAGCGATTTTGCGGGTTTACAAGAATATTTATTCTTAGGCACTTCGAAGATAACTAATTTTTTTATTATTAAATTAAAATAACTTCTATTCTTTTATGTATTTAGCATATTTCTTAACATCCCTTGACGATTAATCATAACTCTGAAAGGCTTTAGAATCTTAAAATATGCCTTCAATATAAATTTGTTTATTTTAGTGTGTTATTATCTTTCTCTTAGCACTAGTTTTTTAAAATATCTTGTGTATCTTGCCCACTTTACTCCTCTCTCTCTCTCACACTCTCTTTCCTTTCTCTCTTACATTCCTTTTACACTATAAAACGTTTTTTGCATTCACTGCACGTTTATTTTGCATAATATGCTGCTTAGGCGACCATGCAAAAACTTTCCATAACTTAAATTGAAAATGTAATACAATTAACACTACGATACTGCAAACACACACACATACATACACACACAATCGCACACGCACACACTCGCGCACAGCAACCTGATCAACCAATTTGCATATAATAAAAGCGACAGTTGTAAAATCCCGCACCGCAACGCCCTGCCACGCCCCGAATTGCATGCAACACTTTTGCATACTTAATACATTTAGTTTTTAAGGTTAACAGCATTCCGGCCATAACAACTGTAAAAACAAGTAGAAAAAACAAGAGCAGACAACAAACACGTAATAAGAAAAGAAGCATTACCTACATTTTGGCGTTGTCCTTTGCTTATGCAAATTTTGTGTACTACACAGTAAAAAAAACATTGTCGCTTGAATCCAAAAAACATGCTGGTGGTCAAAATAAACAATTTCACAATTAATCTCAGACTAAAATCACATTTGGCAACAATAAACTAACAAAAAGAAAAAATATGGATAAAAAATTAAAAAATTATGATGATACAGTGAAGCTGGATTTGAACCAGCGTTCTTCCAACCGCAGAAAGAAAGGGAGAGGAAGAAAGCTATTAATTTGTGGGTGAAACGCTTTTAAGTTAAACCTCGGTTTGACATTTAAATAACAAAGTTTTGATTAAAAAACTTAAGTCGACATTCTTTTTTACTGTGTAGACAACTTAACCTACATACACAAGTAAAGGACACACACACACACATACACACGCACACATACGTAATATGAGGCATGTTATATAAGCACTAACATATGCACTGCAAGAAAAACAACAACAACATCAAAAACAACAGCTGCAAATGTGTGGCACACACACACAACCCACAAACACGCACACACGAAAAATTGGCACTAACAACACGCTGGAAAATGCAACAGCAACAACTACAACAACAAAAACATATGGCTAGCTGTGCTCTGGTTGGCTTTGATGCTGTGTTTAAAATGTGTTTTCCATTCTCTTTCAATTTAGCGCTCGACCTAAAAGTATGCTGCATCATTAGTGTCAAGCTTTTCGGTAGACTTTCCAGCTGAAAGTCAACTGGCTGGGCTCATTAGAGGACAACAGTAACAGCAAAAGCGCATTAGCGAGGGCCAAACGACAAGTTCCTAAGTCCACCAACAAGACAAAGCATTCATAATTACTTGCCAGCAAGGAAGGGGAACAGCAGCAGCAGCTGCTGCCTGGCAAAAGTCAAGGGCACAAAAAGTGGGCCACCACGCCCCGTCCCATTGTCAATGAATAGCATGAATCTAGCTCGGGCAGCAAACAGTCGTACATTGTGCCACTCAAAGCTCTGCAGGATGTCGGCAAGCTGATGTGCTCCAGAAACCCAACAGCAGCAGCAACAGCAGCAGAAGGAGCAAAAGTACTCCATACCAAGACAGAGGCGACAAATTAAGAGCACTTGCAAATTGTTGTCGGGAAATTGATATATTCGATTAGCAATCTTGAAAGTCGATCAGAGGAAGGGGCCACAAGACGAGGCGGCATCTTTAATTTATCAGCGCAGGGGACACGCCCAAGGCAACGCCTACGCCCACCTCCCCCCCGGAGCAGCATAACCAGCAGCAGCAGCTGTGCTCGTATTGTGTGAAAACAAGTAGAAGAAAATTTACATCCTGTGCTCCACGCATTAGCCGCTTTAAGCCGAGTCATGCCTGAGCAGGATAATTACGATGATGAGGTAATTTTTAATCTGTTGTCGTTGTTGCTGTTTTTGGTGCTGCCCCAAAAGCGGGCAGCAGCAGTAGCAGCAGCAACAACAACATCAAACACACGATGACAAATAAATATGTTTTATGCATAAATATCATTAGGCATAATTAATTTTAAAACAAATATTTAAACACGTGTGCGTGTGCCCCTTAGTCGCCGGATTTGACGGTATTTTGGGTGTACACTCAGCGAAATAACGTAGAATCATGGGCTTTAAATTAAAAACCCAAAAGTTCTCATCTGAAGAGCATTCTGTGAGCAAGTATTAGTCATATTTAGAGTAAGAAAATTTAGTTGAAGCAAATTAATTTTTAATAGAAGGCCAATATTCTATATATGCCACACAAAGTTTGGGGATCGAGCCCGCGACATAAACGAAAGTGTACAACAGTTTTTTTTTCTCAGTGTACGAACTGGTTTATGCATACCATTTATTATGCATTAATAAAAGACTTTTGGGCTGAATAATACATGCATAATACATGTGTGTGTGCACACAAATCTCTTTGGTATAAATCCTTAGCTTTGCACAAGCCTGGAATTAGCGCTAAAATGAAATGAACGAGGAAAAAAAATAATCAAGTTGTATTAAATATTTTGCAAATAACTGTCTAAAGTTATGCTAAACGAACGTAAAAGGTTACTAGTAAAAGTACGGAAATTTATATTTTAGTCGATTTCATTGCAAAAAGTTGAACAAAGCCAAAAACTTTTTAATTTGAAATTTAATTTACATACATCAATCTTTTAGTTAAAAGCCGCATTGAAAATAATGCAAAAACTAGTTTTTAATTTAGTATTAACAAAAATATTTGAGTGGAAGGCGATCAGGTCCTCGCCCAGTTGTCCCTCAACTAAGCTAGTCGAGTTCTTAGTCTGGCCATAATTTAACTTCTCATGTGAAGTGAAAAGAAAGACAGCAATAAAGTTCGAAGAGCGGCAATTGAATATAGGGCAGCGATTATAAGTCCTATTAAAATTGCAAGTTAAATTGATTTCAATTTAATTCCCAAAATGGTTTAAATTGCAGTCTTAATGGCTTTATCTTTGTGTTCGTATTAAATTTATAAATTTCACAAGTTTACAGTTCAGCAAAGTGAGTTAATAAGTGGAAGCACCTTGTAGAGCAAAAACTCTTTGTGCTCTTACGGCAGCACTTCAACATTCTGATTTCAACTTGGCTAAGTGCATCACTTTGCCCAGAAAGTTGACTCAACAACTGACAGGATACACCAAGTTGAGCTCTCATCAGCATCATCGTCGACTGTAATGCTGATGCTGATGCTGATGCCGCTGCTAATGCTGATGGGTTGGTCAACTTCAGCTGCCACTCTCACGCATCGCTGCACACTTTGCGGCAGTTCGGCAAGCGGCCAGGGGCGCATCTGTGCGGCCGGAGGCGATGATAATTGAAATAAATTCCGCATGTAATTCAAATGCAAAGCGCTGTCAGGCGCTGACAACAATTGCAAAATTGAATTATCAAAGCGTTGCGTGTGTGCGATTTGCATACAAAAACAAAGTGTAAGGGGCACAACGGTAAGGGGGGAGGGGAAACGACAGGAATTATAGCAGACAATTTTCAAAGTTGAGTGTAAAACGAGTCGGCAAAGATAAACAGCCACTCGAAATGAGTATCAGGCATTCAGGTGGAAATCAATTAGCTATGACCCACTGTATTCCCACAGCGAAAAGTGTTGCATACCCTCGAGGCGCAACATTCAATTCGGACAGTGTTGCCATAATCGATTGTGTTCATTAATTATTTCAACCCAATGACCGCTAACAGTCGCGGGGCTACAAATTACAGTTAAATTAAACTGTCTGTAGGCAATTGATTAACAGTTTTGCATATAATTAGCATTTATTGACCGGTTTTATCCGGCCTTGCCCGTGCTCATTTTCATTAGATTCCAACTCAGTTTTCCGTGAAACCTATTCTTGATTGAATGAAAAAATTCGTAGCTTTTATAAAACTTTAACTTTCATTATCTTCACAGGGGAAGCGAAATGAAAAACACAACGATCTTAAAAAATTGTTTTACACGACCGATTTACATCAATTTTCCACATTTGAGGATGAAATTTTATAAGAACTCAGTTTACTGATCACAAGTTTAACAAAAAGCAAATCCTATAAGAAATGAAGCTTTATACCTCTCATGCTTTGTGCTGTGGATTGATCATCAATCAATCAAAAAGATTGCTTTTTATTAGAAATTTATATTATTTTTCATGTCAAATGTATTTATGATACCCTTTCTGTTAGGTGTCACATTTAATTTGAACTATCAGTGTTGCCATATTAAATATGTTTTTTTGACAAATTCGTCTTACTTAACGACCGTTGACAGTCGCGACACCTGCTGGAAGAGGGAAAAAAGCAATCATGGCTGTGTAATGGAAGCTTGAGTATGTGTTGACATGGACGCAAACACAGAAAGCTAGACACACACACAGGTGCACACACACACACACACACACTGGACAGATTAAAGATGCGCGTGGCAGTTATAGCGAAACGGTACGCCTTTATGGCCTTGAGCTAAACTGTTGTTGACAACGGCAACCGTTGAGGGCAGGCCAGATCAGAGACCGGGCACAGACAATGCTACTAGCGTTCCGGAAAGCCAGACACAGACGACAACGTTGACAGAGTTGCCTAATGCGACCCTCGCCCGCCATACCCGCGCACCCATTCAATTGCACCTAGCCAACGAGCAATGGCAATACTGCGCAAGGATGTGGCTGCGTATCCTTTGCAATCATGCCCTGTGGGGCTGTTTATGGATTTCATGTTTGGCAGGATGGCAGCAAGCCATAAAGATTGGCTTTTAATGTCGCCCAGTTGCAAAATGCAATATTGTTGGAAGCTTTCAGCGTTTACAAGAGCTGATGCCGATGTTGGCAACTCTTAAATGTGAAAGGTGCATAGACCAAAAAAAAAGAAAAAAACAAAAGAGAAAAAAATGTGAAGGACAATAGATTTGATAGTTTCATCAATAAATGGAAATGGCATGAGTTGAATTGCTTTCGTAATAAAACAACTAAAAGAACAGGTCTTTTAAATAAGTATTATGGATCAAATATCCTTGCTGACATATATTTAACAATATAACTTTTGTTATTGGAATTTAGTTTTTGCTACATAAACTTTTAATGCCCAGTGTATTGCAAGTGTATAAAACCCATATATCAGCGTACGTCCAACTAATTCCAAAACACTTTCATTACTTCCATATAGTATATATGCCTAAGCTGGTTAAAAAAGCTTGCTCTAACAAAAATAAATATACGTATATATTCGAAATGCAAGTGTCAACTCGGGAAATCTGCTCCATCGACTGCCAAATGCGTTGAGCACCTGAGTTAATTCCACTTTGATCTCACGGACTAAATGAAAAAGCGTCATTTAATATGCTTTGGGCGATTTTCTCTCTCGCTCTCTCTGGCAGCGTGCAAATGGTGTCTATTTTTAATGCGCTTAACTAGATGCAGCGTAAATTTTTTCGCTCACAGCTTAATAACTCTGGCAACTTATGCAAATAACTGGCGGCACTCTGGCAGCTTTGAACTTTTTACACTCTGGCAATGGCTAACGAAGCAACAAGAACAACAACAACAAATCGCAAAAGTTGGCAACGCGCTCAGCTTAACCGCAAAAGCAGCTAATGCGCTTAGACTTGGCAACTGGGAGGAGCTGTAATGCGACTAGTTGCTGGTTGCTACGAGCACTCGTTGCTATATCTGTTACTGCCCCTTGGCCAGACTACATTACGGGCATTATATATATATATATATATATATCTATATATACACTTTTAGTTTAGTTTTCCTGTTGAAGTGCGTGCGAATCGTAGCTTATTTGCGGCCAACTTCGGAGCTTTAACTTGAACTTCATTAAACTGCAGCTTTGCTAGCCGTTCAGGTAACAAGGAATTTAATCAACATAAACAAAATGTACGCTTGGCTTAGTTTTCTTCACAAGCTCAAATGAAAATGAAATAATAATATTTTCGAATTCGTTTTTGGCACTCAGGTCCGGCACAATCAAAAAAGAGAAATTCGCATGCTGCACATTATATTCAAGTAAACTTTCCAAGAAACTTCTTGAGCGTTTTTCTTTATGCTAGGCTATTGTTATCCGGCTATGCACAGCCATGTGTTTCTCTTTAAATTCCAGAAAACACTTTGTAGTTAACAAAGTTATCTTGAACTTTCATTCTTTGGATTCTTGTGACATTTTTACGGATTTACGTTGACTTACATAACAAAAGTGTAAACATTCAAATATCTATCTCGAATAGTTTGGTCTATGCGATAATCATCATTCAATCAATCAATCAGTGAGTCAGTCAAATAGTTGTATAAATGAAGACCCATTCGCTATCAGTTTTCAATCTGAAAGTATTCGTATAGTTTATCTGAATTTGGACTCTTCTTTGCATAAAATTCTATTGTTAAATTGATGTCACAGTTGAGTTCACTTTGCGAAATTGATTTAATAGCTTTAATATTGACTTAGTCTTTGTTTTTTGACAGCAGCTTGGCGAGCAGGCTGCTGCCAGAGGACCTTTAGCTATGCTTAATTGCTTACCATTAAAAATTCACTGAAACAAATAGCACGCATACGCCCCGTGGGCCGCCGCACAAGCATTTCAAGTGCATAAGTAGCACTTGGGGCTGTTTGAGCTGCGGGCAAAATTGATGACGGAAATTATTTTTAATTCTTTTTAGCGTTAACGGCAACTCATCAAGTTGAGTGCTTAAATTTCATTTATGCTCGCAATATTTACATATTTACTCGCGGAGTTTGACTGCAATCAAGCTGAGAGCTTTCTTCTGCATTCGTGGAATTCCTTAAGGTCGCGACTGGCCAAAACGCCAAGCATCATTAATTCAATCCAATTAAACAAAGTATCCATGCCCTCGGTTATTATCGTGTAAAAACTGAAAAACAAAACACAAAAAGTCAGCTAAGCTTGTGGCCACAATTGTTATTTGATACGTGTTTAGTTTAGTTTATGTTTTTCTCTCGATATTTTGTTCAGCATTCGCTTCAATTTTCCGCGCTTCAGGCAGCCATAAATTTTAGCCAGCTCGAGAGCGTGTGGTCGTATGTGTGTGTGGGTGTGTGTCTGTGTGAGTGTGTGTGAGTGTGTGTGCTCATAAATATACATGAGCATATCTGTGCATACCTGAGCTGGTTATTAATTGGAGCCCGCGGTCCGTTGCATGCAACTGCTCTAATTGCTATGGTTGCAAACATTTATGATTTCTTAATTGAGTATCGGATAGCATTTAAAAAATGTCCGATTGATAAACTATCGATTCGTGTAGAGAACTCGGAGGAGTATACTTATTAAATAAGAACACATCTTGTTTAGTCTGAAGTTCCTTTTTTTATGTGTTTCTCATAAAGTTGTACGTTAAAAATTCGTGCATACGGAAAATAGGCGGAACTTTGTCGTATGGTACTTGGTTTCAACTTCTTTTGTATACGTAATTCCCTTCACAGGTCGGAAAATAGGCAGAACTTTGTTGTATGGCACTGGAGATCAACTAAATTTTCTTTAATTTTGTTTTCAAAGATCTATGTAACATTTTGTTAAGAACTTAATTGCTGAAAGTCCATTTCCCTGGAATTAATGTTTCAAGACAATGCGGCTTAATTTTAAAATTCCACAAGTGAAATATGGGTGAAACAGTTTTGTCCACAATTAAGACAAAAAACTTCGTTCGGCTAATAATACAATGTATATCTTATTTTATGTTATACTAGTTTTTTCAAGAAGAGAAATCGTACCCTTAATAAAAACATCTCCATGTTTGAGGAGTTTATATATTTCCTTAATAGCTTGTCTTAGTTACTAAGGTTGCAAATAGTTTTCTAATTGATGCCTGCTTCTTATTAACGAGAACTTTTGCCCCAATTACACACATTATTTGGAAGAAGCTGACAATTAATACATGATTATATTTTTATGCATTATCTGCTGGGCAAAAGCGTAGGCTCAGCTTAATTAATTAATTATACAGAAATGCCAATTCAGTGTATGTATTTAGGCCTGTATGTGTTTATGGCTGACATGATTGACTAACCAACTGACTTAATGACTAACTGACTCAGTGATTATGCTAACCAATAAAATGGCTGGAGTGGGGAAAAGTCAGTGTCAGCGCGTACGAGCTTCGTGTCAGAGTTGCCACAATTTGTGAAGTTGTTCAAGTTGTTGCCTCATTTGTTGTTCAGCAAAAAAAAAAAACAGGAATAAATAAAAGGTTGTTGAAATTTGTTGTAGTTGTTGTCGACTACATTAAATATGCATTAAGCGTGGGTATTGTATAGAATTGGCTGCCTCTTAATTTGTATGCATACAAGCATAATAGCTGAGGTCTATATAAACAATGCTACACTTAGAGCAAAAAGGACGTTTTATGTTCTACCAGAGCCTAGATGCTTTTTGGCTGTCGTAATATTAAATTTTGATCTTGAATATTTTTAACAAGTAGACTGTTAACTTAACAGTGTTTACATATTATAGAAACAAGAATAAAGAATTTGCTCGCTTAAAATCAGCTTAGAAATCTACTCAATGCATCTTCTCTTGTGTTCTGTATCTGGCTTAAAAGAAATTCACTAATTTACCAAATTTTAAAGAAATTTTGAACTCCTTTACATACAAATTTCTAAGCTATTTCTCTCAGTGTATAGGCCTGCAAGTGTTTGTGTATGCGATGTCTAGTTAGTTTTGCGGCCATATAAATTAGTCAGGCAGTTATTTTGCGTACAGGTTCAACAGCCTTGCGGCCTTATGTTGAATATCCTGCAGAATGCTTAATGCTCACTGAATCAAAAGTTAATGATTGCTTCGACTAGTAGTTGCCTTAAATTGCATCCCTTTTGACGGCAGCGTCGTTTGGTCAATTATTGCGGTCTGATTATTACTTATGGCCGCAAATATTTTGGGGCTCTAATGTGCCGCACGTGGCCTTTATAGTCCTGCTCTTTAGAGCCTTGCAAAGGATATTATAATTATGTCGGGAAATGTCTAACGCATTAGAGCCTATAAGGTATATTTATTCTTGACAGCCAAGTCGATATAGCCTTGCTTCTCTCTCTATTCCTCTGGTCCTATACCAACTGGACTGTCAGTCATCCGACTGTCAGTCATCCGACTTCTTGTTGTACATACATATGTATCTCAAATTTGGAGGAAACCTAGTTAGTTTATCATTTAGCTGCCTTATGAATCAAAAAGAGACTTTATTTGACGATATTTTTATTATAACGACCTTGACTACACTCCTTACATGTAAGTAAAATAATATCAACATCGGAGAACTATGTTGGAATTATGGCTTCATATAGAGACCCTTTTTTACCAAGATATTTTAGTCATAATTGGAAATTACGAGATTCATAATGCTGCTAGCATACAAGAAAACTCTCACTATCATCAGACTACTAAACTATAAAGTTCCCCGGCTAAGTATATTTAATATATTGCATATTTTACAAGGATATTTAGTCTTCGGCAACACGCAGGTACATCTTGTTTCTTATTTTAAACTAATTAAGCAAACGCTTTCCTCTTTCCACTGTTTTTCTACTTTTTTCCTACTCGCAGTTGGTTTCCAGCAACCCAAATCAACGCAACTGGCGCGGCATTCTCATCGCTTTGCTGGTGATCATCATTGTGCTGGCCCTGATTGTAACTTCGGTGGTAAGTCTAAACCGCATGGTAAATGTTTTTTCCGTGTTTTTCTTTTGGTAAATGGTAAAGTCCTTGATTGAAAATCAATTATTTTGCAATCCAATGTGAATAAGTTAATTAAAAACCAGCTCAAGTAATTTATCCTCATGTGGCTCTTGTGTAAACGAACCATTTCTCAAATTAAACAAATACGAATGCAATTTCCCCTAATACACCACACACACACACACACACACACACACACTCACACACAGCTGTACAAACACTATAGCTGTGCTCACATTCAAAGTACCGTTACTGTGCAATATTCACAATAATCCATTGCAACTGTATTTTTATTTGTGGTCACAATCTACAAATGAAAAACAGGATAAAACGTTGTGGTCGGCTCTCATCGACTTGGCAATACTCTGTTCACAATGCAATAAAAGCAAAAAACTTTTAAAATTAATGATTATTGGATAGTGTACTCTAAAACTGTAACAAGTAGGTGACTTTCAAACTGTAACTTGGGACAACATAGACTTTAATCAATTGGTAGGGCAAATTTGTGGGTCTTTAGACAAGTTAATTAGTCCCAAATTATACTCTAGTTATTTTCCCAAAAAACATTATTCCTTAATGCATTTTAATATTTCTAGGCATTTATATGCTGCTTACTGTAATATACTCTATTGCACTTTGTGAACAGGGTAGAACAAACGAAAACCTCAAATGTTATGCGTGTAAATACGTTGCGCTCATTTTTGTCTTCTTCTTTGTTTATTTATTTTTTCCTTTTGTGCCTTGCTGCGTGATATTTGTGCCACCCCCCTGCGCCCCTTTCAAAATCTTTTTCCACATTTTTTCTCCGTTTTCTCCATTTATGTGTTGATGTTGATGTTGTTGTCGTTCTTGTTGTGGTGCTTTTGGTACAATTGTACTTTGTATATATAGAAAACAACATATAAAATTTCTGCATTTATCAAAAAAGGTGCTGCTCACTCCACCCGATGAGGGACCGCGCGTCAAGGGACAGCGCATCAAGCTGCAGGACATCGTCGACGGCCTCTACGTGCCGCAGCGTGCCAATGGCAGTTGGATCGACGGTAAGTTGACAGCTACCTGTAACGGTAACACACTTCCAACCTGCGTTTTCTCAAATTCAGTTTAGTTTAGCTCAGTTTTTCCTCAGTTAGTCTCAGCGATGAGCTGCGAGGCTGTTCTTAACTGGTAGTTAAATCTTTATCGATGGGAAAATATTTAACAGCTGATTGGCTGAAACTAGAAATCTCTACTCAACGCTGAGCTGCAGTTAACTGGTAGTTAAATCTTTATCGATAGGAAAATTGTGAATGAATGATTGCCTGTCTTATTTCATTGTGTAAAATAAAAACCTCTAGTTAGCGCTGAGCTGCAGTTAACTGGTAGTTAAATCTTTGTCGATAGCAAAATACTAAACAGCTGATTGCCTGTCCTTTTTCTTTTGAGTGCAACTATAAATCGAACAAAAAACAATGATAATAATTGTCGAACTTTATAAAATATTGCAGCACTCACACATTATTGCTTAACTTTTGCTTAAGTGGCAAAGTTTTCCAAGATTTTCGTTGAGGTCTCCACAGGATTAAGCTCCTCAAAAAGGTTTTTTATGGCAACTCCGCTTTTTAGCGTTTTTAAAAAACTCCTACATACACAAAAAGTTGAAGTGGGACACAAAAAAAAACCCAGATTTTTTCTAAAGCCTTGCCAACCTATTTCAATGCACACACTAAGCCTCAGTGTTGGTTAACTGGCAGTTAGTTAAGCTGACATTGAGAAAACCCAACCAAAAACTGGACATTGAGAAAATAAACCTTAATCTCTTTTAATTTCCGACTTTTATGTTTTCACATATCGATGCAGCCGAGGAGTTTTTGTATCAGGATCATTTGGGTCGTATCTGCCTGCTGAATGCAGCCAATCGCACGGAACGCGTCCTCATGTCCAATGTGACATTTGTAAGTACATTTCCTCCTGCTACGCCCCTCACCCCGCCCTCTTTTGCTGTATGGCCATGCAGTATATGCTTATTGCTTATCTCCGAGCTGAATAAATATTTGCAGCATGTTATTTACGATAGGATGCTGTGGGGCGTGGGTGTGGGCGTGGTTGCTATCTCAAGTGAACACACTTGACTTGGCAGCCAAACAGTTGGCAGGCACTGTTAACTGATACGCACACACACACACACACACACATGCACATACACGGGCAAAGAGAACGCAGCAAAGTAGGCAAAAACAAATGGGCCAAGTTATCGCTACCCCATAACGATAAAAGCCAAACGATTCTTATGTCAATGCTTGGGTAAACAGTAGGGAAAAAGCGGCAGGAAATAGTCAAGGGGTGGAGGTAGTTGGATGCTTCCGGCTGAAACGTTTTCTAATGAATAATGCGCGCTCTGAAATTGAAAAACAAACAAATGTATATGGATGCCTGCCAAGGGTATAGAGGGGCGGGCTAGCTCAGTGCCAACAATTTTGACAGCTGCCAAGAGGCAAGCATTTCGAATGCCTTAAAGCCAAATTCAGCAACAAGTGCCACAAAAATGCCATTCGGCAACTGCAACATGCAACAAGCCATCGCTTGTGTCAACAGTTGCCACTTGACAAATAATTAATGTGCCCCACCAAATGAGCTGCTACCAGGATGACTCAGTCAAGAGTATAGTTATCACATATACTAAGTATTTGAGGCAAACAAAATTGTCAGAGCCTACACTCAGCAAAAACTCGGTTCTCAATTCTGGTCTGATCCGTTTGAAATACATTTCGTTTTATTCCAAAAATTGGTGTTTAATTAAATCTATATTTGAAATTTAAATGAATAGGAAAATTAATCTAATTAAATGAGTAAAAATAATCTCTTTTTAAAAGAATTTCCATTCTTAAAACAAACGCCTAACATTGTCAAAGCAAGTAATAAATTTCAAAGCTTAATTACATTATATGAACATTATATTAAGAATTGTCCGACTTAAAAAATAGTTTATGAAAAAACAATTTAATTCCCAGCCCAAAGATTTTAACAAAATTTGAGCAAATAAAACTAGATTTTTTCTCTGAGTGTAGTGCAACTTGGTTGCAGTTTAAGGAAACCTAATTAGGCATTTCCCAAGAGGGTTTTCATGCAAGTCAGTCTCTGGATATCTACATAAATTCAACTCGTATACCCAAAAGCTTCATTAAAGGCACTTATGCGTTATCTAACGTACTTCTGCGAATAATTACCAAATGTAGGCAGTAATTCTAAATGGGAAATTTCAGCATTTGAATTGTATCCATAGGCACAACACGCGCTCCGCAAACAATTAAAATTTTAATTAAAATTACGCATACGCAGCGTTTGCCATTCTGTATAAGCGGCATTGTTATGGCAGCTGCTTAACAGCTACCATAACACTGGAGCGCATTTGAAATCGACATTTACTACATTTTCATGGCTAGCATTTCAATGAGATGCCACCTAATTCAAATTATTTCATACGCAGAAAACTCTGGCGCCGTTCACATTTAGCATATCGGCGGATAAACGTTTCCTGCTGCTGGCCCAAAACGTTGTCAAATTATTTCGACACTCGTATTTGGCACAGTACACGCTATTTGACATACACACAAGGTAAGCGAACAACAGTTGACGACTCGCCTCTCTTTGCGATTCTCATTAATGGCGTGTCTCATTCGCAGCGAGGCCATCAAGCTGCGCCACAATCGGCAACAGGACGAATGGCCCTATTTGCATTATGCGCGCTTTACAAGCGCTGGAAATGCTTTAATCTGGGTGCACAACTACGACATTTACTATCGCCAGGAGGTGCGTGCCTCGCATGCATATCGCATCACACACGATGCGGTGCCGGGCGTTGTCTATAACGGCATACCCGATTGGCTATACGAAGGTGAGTTTATCATGCAGCTTAATAGAAGTGCAATAAAAGGTGATTTAAATGAGTTAGTAAAGCTAAAAAATTGAATTACATTTAAAGAAACGATCTTAGACAACAATTTAAAAGTTTGTACAAAAATCAAAGGCGAAAAGGGTGTAGGTTATATTTATCGTTAATAAGAGCTCTATTTAAAATAAATATTTTTTTTTGTTTATAATATTGATCTATTCTGTCCAACTTTTATCCTTAGATTTCAATTTAATGTTTATGATTTCTATGTTTTCTATGGGCAAGCTAAGTTATTTAAAAGATAGTTTAGGGTAATTAGCAATAAATTTGAAGAGCATTGAATCTTCGATAAGGCATGGAACACTTTGACGGTCATAATTCAAATGGTGTCTCTTCTTTATAGAGGAAATTCTGCATACTAATAATGCAATTTGGTTATCGGACGACGGGCAACTGCTGCTCTATGCCAGCTTCAACGATACACACGTCCAGGAGCAGCATTTTGCGTGGTATGGCACCACCTCAACTGGCGCCGCAGGCGGTGCTGCGACAAGCGGCACAACTCACGGCAATGGAGGTGTCGGTGGTGGCGTTGGCACTGGCACTGGCGGTGGCTCAGCTGGTGGCATTAATCCGCATGCCAACTTGTATCCGGAAATTAGATCCTTACGGTAAGTTGTGCCTGACCCAGGCTATATTACTTTTCGATTAGGTGTTAATGATGTGCTCGTGACTGTCATTAGCCCCTAAATAGTGCTCGGGTATAGAATGCTTAAAATTCATGAAGTTGTCGACGAGTGCACACAGCTTTTTGGGAATCCTTTTCACGATGGCCCAAATGTGCCCAGGTGCCAGGTGTGCAGCAAAGTGTCAAGTCTCTCTCCATGTGTGTGAATGTGCGTGGGTGTAACGACAATCTTATACTCTGTTAACAGAGTGGAAAGGAGTGTATTGGTTCTTCCAAAGGTAAATTGCAGGCAAGTGAATTCCTGTTGATCTGGATTACAATCTTTGGGTCGAGAATTCAATTGACAAGGAGACTCTAGTCTAACTATTATATATTGAATTTATCGAACAGAGTAGTGCGCAGTCTTTTGGAGCCGACTGCAGCGCTCTTGTGCTTGTTGGGAATTCAAATACATTTGCAGCAAGTGAAGCCAGCCCCTGGCCACGATAGTCTTTTAATACATACGGCTGAGCTGCTGTCATTTTCGATTTGATAAATTGCCAAATGCACAAAAGGTTTGCACAACTGTTGCCCCGGGCTTACGGAGCTGACAAAACTGCCGTCAAACCTGTTTGCGTTAAGTGTAATGTCATCATTTGGGAATTAGTTATGTAAATGTTTGAGCATAAGTTCGTAGATGCCATCGCTGGTAATTGAATGTGCCAAGAATAGAAACGTTCAACTTTTGCCGTGTGTGCAAATCCATTTTAAATTGAACTGCTTAGAGTTGAAAACCGATTAGAATCGTTGCGAAAAGTTCAACTAACTTAATAATCCCCAAATAAATTATGCTCCGTTTTAAATTATAAATTAATTTGTTTGTAATGCAAGGATGTTATGCGTAGAAGCAAGGATTTCACGTAAGAAACTTGATTTTATTTGTGGGAAATCGTTTTCTGTGTCAGTCTTTCTTTACCACACAAAAAATTAATGAATATCTGTCGTTATATATATGTATAACTGATTGACTAACCTTTCCTTCTCTCTATTGCCTGTTTAAACCCGATTTATTATCCTTCCATTGCAGCTATCCTAAGCCGGGCACACAGAATCCGACAGTCACCTTGCGGGTAGCCGACCTGGCGGTTCCTGAGAAGATACACATCATAGACTTGAAACCGCCGAAAATTATAGAAAACGAGTGCGTATTAAAATGAAAAGAAAGAATGATTCGAACTCAACTGAACTCTTCTCCGTTCTCTGCAGGGATCATTACTTTAGCAGCGCCAGCTGGGTAAGTCCCAAGGAGATCGCTGTGGTCTGGCTAAATCGACCCCAGAACATATCCGTGGTCAGTGTCTGTAGGAGTCCCTCGTTTGTCTGCATTGAGGTATGTTGTTGCATTTACCTAATTAAGCGAGTTTGTGCTCATGTCCTGTGCATCCTTCGGCAGACGCATCGTGTCAGCGGCGATGGACGCGGCTGGGTGGACACTGTCTCGGTGCCATTGTTTGCGGCCAATGCCAGCCACTATGTGGCCATATCGCCGCTGCGAGACGGCTCGTTTGGTAAGTGAGCCATATGTCAATCCGGCTTTTGTTTCGAGCTCAATACGCAACCAATACCAAACCCTTATCCTCCCGCTTAACCGACAGGCTATTTCCGGCATATCGTGCACGTGGACATTGACAATAATCGCGTGCTGCCCCTCACACACGGACCCTACGAGGTGAATCGACTCCTGCACTGGGATCAGCTCGATAATTGGATGTAAGTAGCCAGCGGAAGCAGCAATTCCACAATTCCAACTCAAAACTGAATCTCAAATGGCGATAAATGTTGTCCAACAGTAAATTTAAGTGCCAAATAAAATGACTTAAATGTCCGGAACGTGAATGGTTACATAAAACCGACAGCTATTAAATTCAAGCACAAAACTAGAACATAAATTGCAACTCGAATTAAATGTTCTACAGAAAGCAGAAAACATAGCTGCAATTACAAAAAAAAAAGGACTGTCGGTGGGTTTCTCGTTTCGAGAACCTTTTCGCATTCAAACTTCAATTTCCGTTTAATTTTAAACACTTTTTGGTTCAAGTTTGCTTTCTTGGCAAAAAAGTGCTTACAATCAAATGCTAAACTTTAATGTTAAATGAAATTTCTTTAACCGAGCTCCCTCCTTAGCTATTTTCTGGGCACACCGGAGCGTCTACCCTCGCAGCAGCATTTGTATCGCGTCTCGGCGCTGCCCGCTCGACAGGGACAGGCTCTGCCAGCGCCCGACTGTCTGACGTGTCCAGCGCTTATGCACGGCAGCGATGGCCGTGACGAGGGTCACACCAAATCGCCGCCAAAGCTTGTGACCGCCTGGGACGATGACTGGGAGGACTCGGAGGAGTCGGAGGCGCTGCCGCCGCCACCGGCAATGCCCGTAGAGCAGCAGCGACAGGCGCGTGGACATGGAGCCCCGCCACCCAGCGATTGCCTGTACCACGAGGCACAGTTTCCGCTGTCGCTGCGAGCGCGCTATGTTCTTGTGGAATGCCTGGGTCCAGTGGTGCCCAATTCTATAATATATGGCCTGAAGTTGCCAACTGGTCCCAAGGCCAAAAAGCAAAGCCTACCGCAGGAGCAGTTGGCACCGGACGTTGCAGCTGCTGCTAAGGAAGCTGGCGAGCCCAAGTCCCAGTTTCTGGAGCTGCTCGTCACCGTGCAGAACAACACGCGGCTCAAGGAAAAGATGGCCAAGGTGGCGCTGCCGCAGGTAAAAACCTTTCCAGTTATGATCTCCGGCGGCTATCATGCCCAGGTGCGTCTCTATCTGCCGCCCGTGCTGCGTGAGGATGAGATAACACGTTATCCCACCATATTGCACGTATATTCCGGTCCGGGCTCTCAACTGGTCACAGATCGCTGGCACGTGGATTGGAACACCTATTTATCCGGCAGCAAGGATTACATAGTCATCGAGATCGATGGACGTGGCTCAGCCGGTCAGGGCTATCAGCTGCTGCACGAGGTATACAAGCGTCTGGGCAGCGTTGAGGTATCCGATCAGCTGGAGGTTAGCGAATATTTGCGCGACAATTTACACTTTATCGATGCACGACGCATGGGCGTCTGGGGCTGGAGCTATGGCGGCTATACGGCTGCCCTCGCCCTGGCCGGGCAGCAGTCAATCTTCCAATGCGGCATCAGTGTCTCGCCGGTGACCAATTGGAAGCTGTATGGTAAACACCCTCAATATATAATTATATTGTTGAACTAGATTTTGATTATATTGGCAACTTTTCTGCTCTCTATGCCCTTATAGACTCCACCTATGCGGAACGCTATCTGAGTTTTCCGAACGTAACCGACAACTACAAGGGCTACGAGGAGAGCGATCTGTCCAAGTACGTGGACAATTTGCGCGAGCGTCAATTCCTGCTGGTGCATGGCACGGCGGATGACAATGTGCATGTCCAGCAATCTATGGTGCTCGCACGTGCGCTGACCGGCAAGGGTGTGCTATATAAGCAGCAAATCTATCCTGATGAGGGGCATAGTTTGTCCGGCGTAAAGCGACATCTTTATCGCTCCATGACCGCCTTTTTTGACGACTGCTTTAAGAAGCTGGTGAGTGGCTGCTGGCATTTGAGCTCAATTTTGTTTGACTCCATTTTGTAAATATATTCTACCACTCTCCTACCATAACTCTCTATTTCTCCTGCTCTCCACAACCACCACCACCACCACCACAACAACCAAATGTCATAACCATCATAACCAACAATAACAACTACTACTAAAAACTCACCATCATTTCATTCCACACCTTTGATGTGATATTGTCAACGATCTTTCGCGTAGCTCGACCAACAACAGCAAAATCAAACAGATTCCATGGATTTTCTGGACTTTCATAGTTTTTATGGCGGTTAAACGGTTTATCCTCGGTTTTCGCCAGTCCCCCAAGTACTAGGTACAGTCGCCGTTGTTATCAATCGTCGTCGTTGTTGTTTTTGTTGTCATTCGTAGACTTCTCTCTGATTCGCTGTTTAAATGTCTTATTGGGCATTTTACGGGGATTGAAAAAAAAAAAAACATAAGTTTTTTTGTTCGTTTCATTAAGTTTCTGCTACCTGATTATGCTTAAACGGAATATCTATCTTTTTTGTTTAAACCTTAAAATCTGTTGTGGGCATGATCTTTTGCAAGGTTTTAGTTTTTAAGGCTTCCAATGTCAAACTTATTTTTATTATGTATATGAATAATGTTGGCAAGACATATAAAATTAAATCGAAACCTTAAAATGTCTCAAAATATAAACATATTAAAGAATATATTTTTATAATTTATATAATATATTTCGTCTAGTTTTCTGCAGCATACACTCACAGCAAAATCAAGTGAATTTAGTACGGCGTTTTTCGTTGAGTGTATGCACATATCTTCTTCTTTTCTTCGTTGGGCTAGTTCTTTTTTCGGTTCTCTTTGAGTTCTCTTTCCATCTCCTTTCGTGTTGTTTAGTATGCAAGTTTTGCCTAACTTTACGTTCGTATTATTATTTTCGTTTAATTGTCGTGAATTTTTAATGCCTCAAACAAATTGTTGGCTCTATGGCGTATATATGTGTGCGTGAGCGTGCCTGTGTGTGTTTGTTTCTATGTGTGTGTAGATATTTTGGGGCTTGCTCTTTATTGGAAGCATTTCAATGTGATTTCATTTCTGTTATTTTATTCCTTGGGTGTAACACAGCACACACACACACACACACACACACAAAACCGATTCACACACACCCACGCACACTTGCTATTTTACCTGAATGTTGCTTATGCTTTGATTGTGTCTTTAATTTACATAATATCTCTGTCCGTATCATATGAAGTCGAATTCAATTTGAAACTAACTCGTAAAATTCGATTTCTATGTGTACACACAACAGGTGCCGCCAGAGACAAAGGCCGGCCTGGGCAGCGGCGGCGATATGCAGCAGCAATAAAAAGCAGCATCAACAGCAAAAGCAGCAAAATAACCAAATTTTTTTGATTACAGCAGTGCGAAGGAATACGCGAAAGCGAAACGTGCGAGAAAAACGTTTGAAAACACACACATACACTTTACACTACGTTTATATGCGAGTATCGCGAAATCGCGAAAATATCGATTGCGAGTCATCGATTCCGTTGAAAATAATCCATAAATAAAAAACTCGCCTGGTCACACCTAATTGGACTGATCTACAACACTGAACTTTTTTTTTTGGCCAGTCAGTGCGATCCAGCATATAAGAGAGGAGGTCCGACAACATCAAATAAGAAAATTTATTCGTTTACAAAGTGTGTTTATTGTCTCGCGTATGATCGTAGTAAGATACAGACGCAGCCAAATGCTTACAACAAGAAGTGTAAATGGCGTTTTGTACAAAATAATAAGCATAAATAAATGAAAAGTGAATGTGCATAAGAAAGAAAACGAAAAAAAAACATACAAACGTAAAATCAACATGGTTGTGAGAACGTGACTAACACACAGGCAGTTACACACACGCATGCACTCACATGAACATATGTATGTATGTGTGCAAAAAAAAACCGTACACGCGCAACATACATACATAAATGTTAATGGCGGCCGCCAGACAACGCGTAAGTGCCGCATATTTCTTTTGATTTATTCGATTTTGTATGCACTTGCTGCATAAATTTGCAAAGGGGTTTGACCAAAAATGAAATACCAAAATATACAATATATTTGTTGTAGTGCAAAGGTCACCAGGTGGCACTGCCAAATGTCAACAGGAGGGGGTCACAGGGAGAGCGAGAAAGCGTTGTGAAGGAAATTACTATCATAAATCAATTTACAAACATTTGCAAAAGCAATTTAAATGACATTTTCTGATAACCGAGAGAGGCTAAAATATTTTTCAATAATGGCAAACATAAATCTCATATGGAGTTTATGAGCAGCAATTATTTATTACAGGTATTAGTAGTATATATTTTTTTTTTGGTTTTGCTAAAAATATCAAGGGTCAGTTTTAATCGAATATTTATACACTCTGTCGCGCAGCTTTGATGTTTGCTAATTTATTTATGTTTTGATCAAGTAGTACAATCAAAAACTTCTGCAAAGTCTGATGGAATTGCTCAAAATAAACAAATTGCTCATATTAATAGATTTAAAATAAGCAAAATTGATTTGCTTCAAACAATTTCCTCTCCCCGCAAATACTTCCCTGTTGACCCCGCGCACATTTAAACACTTTTTGCACTCGCATTAAAACCGTAGAATTGAGTAGATGTGAATTGAATGAAATGAAAATGCTGCAATAAATAAGACATAAATGAAATAAAATAACGCGCAATCGCGTCATAAGCAAATGCATAAAGATATAAGAAGAGAAGCGATGAAAGAAAAAATATAAATCTGAGCTTTCGCAAGCACAGCAAGAAATCAATTTAATTGAATACTAAATAAAAAATAAAATGGCCAAATTCAATTATAATTTAATTGAACTTAAGCATAAATACTGTTTGCATGTAAGTAGCACAATCATAATATTGAATATTTAATAGCTATATATTAATTCAGTTCATGTTGATTGCAACAACTTCGCACCGAAGGCAAAACCAAAAGTACATTTCTAAATGAGCGTAGTGAATGTAGCGTTAAATAAATTAGAAAACCAAGCCCAATAATGTCTAGAAATTAAGTGCAAAAAACCAAAGTAAACATTTTTAAAGTAGAAAAACAAAACAAAAACAAAAAACAAACAAAAACGAAAAGGTCAAAAATAGCTGCGATACACGTTTAAAATTCGAATGCGACTGGCAGAAAGTTGGCAGAAAAAAAAGGGCAACAAACTAAATGACATCGCGTCGCAATCCGGTTCCGCGTCCTGCGGGCTACCAGAACGCGCAGACAGCGTCATGTATGCATAAGGATTAAATTAATTAGGCTTTTTTTTTTGTTTTGTGGCGCAACAGCTCAGCCAACTAATTAGCAGTTGTACAACTGTGGTCGCTCGTTGTGATAGCGAAAATATGTGTCGAAACTAGGTGAAAATATGCGCAATGCAGAATACTTATATACCCTTTCAGAGGGCTCTATCAATTTGTCAGCAAGTGCGTAACGTACCCAATCAATTAATTTCTTAATTCATTTTTAACTGCACTTAAATAGGTTTTAAACATTTATTAACTGGCAGCAATTTTAAGAGTATACTTTACTTAGTAATTTAAAATATTCATATTATTATCTAGTATGCATAGAAATTTTAAAAAAGTTAGATAACTTTTTAGCTCATCTTTAATTTTGACTTTTTTCCAACTAATTTTGCGTTCGCGAAATTTGCAACAGAATAAAAGCCACAGTTGAGTGGCTCAAATATGTGTGTGTGTGTGTGTGAGCTTCTGTCTGCTAAAGCTTAACAAGGCCAGCATAAATTTATATCTGGCTGACACCTAATGTGCGGCTTAGGCGGTTTTTTTTATATTTTACGTTGGCCCAAAGTTTGCCTGTTTTGCCAGACGCAATTAACATGCGTCCAAAAGGACACACAGGATGCACACACACACACACACACGCGGAGGCACACCTGGACAGTGACGCCCACGCTTAGGGCCGTGTACACGGTCGCAAAAGGTCGTCACAGCTGTGGGCAGCATGAAAAGGGCAGCTGCCTTTGAAACATGGCTCGTCTCTCTGTGTTTGTTGACACAAAAAGGTGTTTGCTTAAAGTAGATGACACAAAAAAAAAGAGGGTGTAGGTTGGACAGTTGAAAAGCCTGCACACACACACACACACACACACACACACACACTAGTTGTCTGCACTGAACTGTGGGGCAAAGGCGAACTTTAGATGACATAAATGACAGCTCTGGCTGCTGTTGGCTTTTGTTTCTTTTTTGTATATTCCTTATTCTTCTTATCGTACAAACCCGACAACAATAATTTCAGAGTAACTATTATATTCGGTGGACATACAGTAAGAGCTTACTTTCCAACTAAGTTGAAAATTGCATAAAGATCGAAAAATGTAAAACTAGAACAGAATCATAAGCCTATATTAGTTTCATATACATACATTAAGCCAAGTTTCAGTTGAACTTGGATTTGTCAGATTCTTTTAAATCTAAATATATTGTAATTGTAACACAAGTTTTTCATATTTTTCCTTTGTATTGATTTAAAATTAAAACAGTTTTTTCTTAAAAAAAACTTATTATTCTTTAATGAAGTCGGTCAATATCCATTTTTGTCTTCTAACTATGCTCTTTAAAAAAAAAGAAACATTTTGAAATAAATATTTCATTCGATTGGGTTTAAAATTTGGTTACTTTTTGAGAACATGGTTCCGCACACTAATTAAATAGCATTAAAATTTTTTGGCTCTTCCAAAATCTGGGCTATAACTTCCATTTAAGGCAAACGTTTATAATTTTCTGCACTTTTAAGCAATTAATTTCTGCTCGATAAGCACTCACCTGTTGTCCATAGTGCTACCTGCTCTGGTGGCTAATCTAGCTGGGGGGAAGTTGAACTGCCTCGCGGTGTCATTTGTCTGAGCGCTCAAATGTATGCTATAGAAATTTAAATTGCTCTACAGTTTTTAAAAGCTTTCTATGTAGTGTACTAAGGACCAATTACCAAAAGAATTCTTAAAATACGAGTACTTAAAAGATATTTACATAGAACAGCGTAGTGAACAAATTACAATTACATAATTTGCAATACTTATATATATATATATACATACATATACACAAAGGTATATAGTACATATGGATAAATCAATAAATATATACACATATATATTGAATATTGACTTGCAATTTAGTAATTATACAAGCAAAAACTATACAAAATTTATATATGCATGTGCATATAATATATATACGATTCGTAGTCTAGTTTGTTTAGTGGATCAAGCGTTGGCATTATTCGAGTTACAAACCAATCCAAAGCAAAAATAACAAAAACAAAAAAAGAACCGAAAACCATTTTTATAATCGTAAGAAATATTTCAAGTGTACTGTTAATTAGATTGTTAATTCAATAGTACAGAAATCGAATATAAAAGCTATGTAAAAATAATAATAACAGTAATATATGCGCCCTATATAACTAACAAGAAACAAAATGAAAAAGTAACTATACTTTGATATATGATAAATATATTTTATAAACAACTTTACTCTTAAACAATAACATTTTAATACTCTGTCTTCAGCCTTAACAAAACAAAACAAAACAAAAACGAAAATGAAAAACAAGAACAAAAAATTGAAAACGTGCAAAAAATGAGCGTGAACTAAAATGAGAAACTCTATTTGTAGGGTCTCGATTGTTTCAAATTAAGCCTAAGCAAAAACCAACGAAAAACTATGCACTTGTTAGTTATGTTTAATGTAAATAAGCTTTAAAATGGTTACTTAACTTTTACTCATACTTGATTTATTTTGTTATTAGGACGTTTGACAAAAACCTACTTATGTGATCCAACAATTTCTTCTCTTCCATGAAGCTAAAAAAAAAGAAAAGAAAAAAGAAAAGAAAAACAATTAATAACGAAATTAATATAAATTACCAATTATGTAATACATTGACTTAATTAGCTGAGATGTTCAATAATTTCGCCAGGCATTTAGCAAACTCGAAAAGAAACCAAAAGAAATATATATATATATATACATACAATAAACCAAAGCCGAGAAAAATAAAATAATATTATATTTCAATGGGTTAATCAGCATGGTACTCTCTGAGTATGGATCTTCTTAAATTAGTCTTGAAATTTCTTAAATGAAGTGCAGAAATCTTTTTACCAGCCAAAAGCTCTTAATACTATTCAACCTTACACATGCTGGATTTCCATTACGCACACTTTAAACTTCTTTTAGGTTTTTTTCTTTAAATTTTCTTAGCTTTATTTTAAATTTCCTGTTATTATGAGAACAACTTAAATTAAATTTATTAGAAAATGTACAATACTACTGAGTCTACTATTAAGTCTAGTATAAAATGAACAAAGTTACAGTGACTATATATATCGATCTGGGAGCTCGATTGGATGAGACCTCCGCAATCTCCTCCGCGTTCGGACTCCTCCAATTCGACGCCTCTTTAGAAGGCGCCTAGCCATTCGATTTGGATGGTTTCCCAGTCGCGTTATGTAGTTTACAGTCTGTTTGTTTATGACGTCCCCGACTTTGGGCACTCCTAGGTCTTTTTCCAAATCGGAATTTCGCATATACCAGGGGGCACCAGACAGATAGCGGAGTGTTTTTGCATGAAACACCCTGATTTTCGTAAGGCGGGATTTTGCAGCAATACCATATCGCCTGGCAGGAGCTAGGAAGGTTTTGTATATGTTTACTTTGTTTTTTAAAGATAGCGCATTTCTACTGTTGAGCAGCCATCT